AGGGCAAAAAGTTGCAAGTCGAACCATTTAAGGGTGAGAGTCGTTGTGCAACCTATCGGGTGTAATTAAAACCACTCCCCTTAGTGAGCAAAAACACAAGTCCGAATTATAGCGATCTAACCAATCTACTTAGAGTCAACGCATTTCGCATGAAACACGAGTCCGAATTATGGCAATCCGAACTATCTATCCGGAGTCAACTAAAATTATTCACTCCGAATATATGGGCGCAAAGAGATATAATCGAAATTCTACAAGAAGAAAAATGCAAAATGGACAGCACAAAGTTAAGCAAAGCTATATTACTTCAACAAAAAATCAAAATATTACTAAGAGTCACAGGGAAACCGTAGGCAAAAGCTGAACCCTGACTTACAAAAAAATAGGATGTTTGTAGTTACTGAAAACAAAAAAGTGAACATAAAGACAAATAATAAACCAGCATAGATTCACAGCATGATACTTCAACATTCATGACAGAGAAGCAGCAGAGCGAGCAAACACAATAGAATCATGAGAAGGAGATCCCTGGGGACTCGCGGAAGAGAAACCAGAAACTTCCTTTTATTGGCCTAGTCTTTCCTTCAAGTCATGAATGACATCGCAAGCCTCCTCCTCGCAGACTCTTCTGCTCTCCACCACCGATTGTCTCAGAAACTCTTCCATTCGACTAAATTTGGCAGTCTTGATGATGAGTTCCTCCTCTAACTGCGCAATTCGGGCCACCATAAGTCTCATTGTGGCTTGCCACAGCTGCTCTAGCTGAATCCAAGTCCGCCTGCACTTTGCTCGTAGCCTCCTCAACCTCCTCCCTCTGGAGTCGCAACTGAAGGAAAAATTTTGTCCTAGCTAAGAACATGTAAGAACATTTGAATACATATGCAAACTAATAACACTTTAAAGTAGGCATGCATTCAAAAATAATTCATAAAACCCATGACTTTCAAAGCCTAGTATATGGTGAACCATAAGACTCTTTAACAAAATTAAAGAGAATAAGAATTTAGAGATTCTTTACCCTTGAAGCTCATCCTTGATTGCACAAGGGATTCACCCAAGTGGAGGGCCTTCAAGTCACCTCCTTGCTCCTTGAATCTTCCTTGTGATTTCCTCCCTTTTAGTGCTCCTTTTCTTCTTTGAGGATTTGAGGATTTGTTCTCCAAAACACCAAAAGTTTGGTGTCTCTAAGTCTCCACACCAAAGATTTTGTGTGAAGATGAAATGGATGACTTAGGGAAGAAAGATTGCTAGATGTTCCTCACCTAAGGTAATTTGTTCTCAAAGAAAATGAGAGAGTTTGTTTCACCCAAATTCAATTAGAAACCCTTAGGGTGAAATGGCTATAAAGATGTCTTTATACCACCTCACAATGGAGTGGCAAACTTGCAATTAAGCCAAGTTCACTACCCTTGAAGCTTATGGCCGGCCATATGTTGTTATTGGGCTTAATTGCCCATTTTGTTTTAGTTGTCATACAACTTAAACATAATGGGCCTTGTGGACCAAAACGTTTTTGTGCCCCGAAGCCCAAAACTAACTTAAACGCCCAATACGAACGTTTCGTATAATTAATTAACTATTTAATTAATCTTGACCATTCTTCAATTAAACCATTTAATTGCTTATCCATTTCATATAATTTCTTCACTTATATCTTTACTCGGTGTACGATCCGTTAGGTTCCAATTAGCGAGGTAGTGGGCGATGTTACTCTTAACGATCGATTGTGAATTGAAACCACATTTCAATTCTCCCTTAAATTAGTGTTTGCTAATCTTTAGGGCTTCCACAAACCATGGGTGACGCCTAGCAGCATGTCATGGTTACCCAAGCTAAGTAGAAGTGGTTGGAGAACCTATCCAGTTACAACTACAATGCAATACGGTCCTTCTCTAATACAATACTCTTAATCACATTGTTTAAGTGATAGTTTGTTTCATGTCTACTATCCAATGTGATACTTCTCTATATGATTCAATTGAATAAGATTTGGAACATCTTCCTTAGTCATATTCATATGCTTTGGCCAAAGACTCTCGAATCATATCTTAGAGTATTCTCCTTCCATCATGGAAGGTTAGAGATCCCTTGTTGTGCATTCATATGCCTACATGACTAGATAGCTTGACCCCAACAATGCCGTGGACACTCCAATGGAATGCCGTTGACATAATCAAAGATCAAGGACCTAACCATTAGACATCAATGATGCCTCAGGTCAAAGGACTACTTTGCATATTGCAACTATTGAGTTCTCACATGACATGTATGTTCGAACTCTTGTTTGATCGTTGTTCAGTGTACTCGATTACTCTTTCGAGCACCTATGTGTTTGCCTTAGTGTCCAACACCAAATGACTTGAGACTAGTTCATACTCACGCTTGAGTCGACATAACACATACTAACCTTAGCGGATTGTCAATGCCCAATTGGCAATCCTATGGCTAGGAACGTTTTAGGAATGAACATAAGAGAAAGGTCTCGTTAATTTAACTAACTTAAATCACTTGTCTCTTAGATCAAATACATTCCTTGGATTCCCTTATTGCTTAAACACAAGATACTATAAATAGTGATTAACAATAAGCTTTGCCCTCTATTAAACATATAAAAGTTTAACACAATAAGTATTCCAAAAAGCTATTACATCAAATGAGTGGCTTTGTGGGCATACTTCCAACAGCAACTCGTACAAGGAACCTTCGAATGAAGACCTAACTTGCTAAACTTGAGCACGCTTATTCTTAATGCATCGGTCTCTGCTACTCGTCTCGTGTGCTTCTCCTTAGGTGTTGAGTAGTTGTTAAAGTGCTTTTAGCATTGTTTGGTAGAATGATAGGAGCGCTCACTACGCGGGTGACTTGCTCACCCCCATTTTCTATTGATCTAGGTGTTTCATTGGTTTGTTCTCTTGGTGGTGATGGTGGCCTTGCGATGGAGGCACATCTAGTGGCTGCTGGTTTCAATTCCAATCTTAGGGTTTATTTATTTTTTTTTTTTTTGTTGTTTGACTAGCCACTTTTGGGCCTTTCTATTGTATTTTCTTATTTGCTATTGGGCTGTATTTTGGTTATGGTTTACCTTTTGGGCTCTCTTTTCCTTGTACTACTTTTTTTTACTTAATGAAAGTAATTTAGTTTAACAAAAAAAAAAAAAAAATTCTTTTGTGAAAGGTCAAACCTTTTATTGCATTTATATTCCTTTAGGAAAAAAAAATAAAAGAAAATTGTAGTATTGATTCCTCAACTTTAACCCAATTAAAGCAAGTCTCTTAACTAAAAATTCATAACCAATGATCCTTTAACTCCTCAAAAGGTGTAACTATGAACTTTTTCGTTAACTCCTTCAGAACTTCCGTCAAAACGAGTCATGTTGGAAGAATCATTGATCCAATGGTTTAAAGTTGAGGGATCATTTCTTCAATTGAGTTAAAGTTGAGGGACCACTTCTACAATTTTTTCATTTGGTTTCCAATATTTTCCCCTTGATTCTGACCACGTGACTTATTTTGACGGAAGTTTTAACAAAGTTGACGAAAATGACCATAGTTATACATTTTGATGAGTTAAGTAGTCAATGATCATAAATTTTTAATTGAGAAAACATTGCTCTAATTGAATTAAAGTTCAAAGATTATTGCTATAATTTTTTATAAAAAATAAAAAAGAATATATGTACGATGCAATTTTTGTCATGATAGGCATTTAATTAGTAAAAAGGTGGGCATATTACTTTGTCCCGTCAAACAATCGTGAAGTAAAAGTGACATAAAATTTGTTTATTGAATAATTAATTTAAAGTTGTTGAGACGCAACAAGTTAGCATATGCATGGTTGCTCAAAAAGCCTGCATATATGATATATCTACAAAAAGACGAACAGGGAAAAAGGGCATGTTCCACTTTATCATATGCTTGTCCTTTACCTAAGGCTACAATAGTAACATTCCATCTATATTATAAACTAACCAAGTTTAATTAATATATTCACATATGTTGTACTAGTTTATCCTAAAATAATTAATATTTTAAGGGATCTAAGAATAAGTAGATATATTCACTTGCTTGTCCTTTACAGAGCTCCTTATCTTTTTAATTCTCTTTTGTAGAATAATTAGGAGGACAAAAGAAAACACGAGATGTCAGCATCTTCTTTGTAAAGGTATGTGCGCGATCAGAAAGTTGATTCATTCAATGTTTCTTCCAAGACAATCTTTTTCTTTTTTAGGGGTTTAGGTAAACCATGGACCTATACGCACTACAATAAAAAATATATATTACACTTTTGTTTTTCTTGAAGTTTTAGAGAGCGTGACACATATAATGCTAGGTAGAATAAAATTTGAGATTATATTTATATGTCATATGATGTGTTAATAATAAAAAATAAACATGTTAATAAATATTTTATAAATTTGATCTACAAATTTAGTTTGCGTATCTTACCTAGAAACAAAATGCATGGGTAGAGCTTTTGTTGTAGATTTTTATCTCCTACTTTCTCGGAGATGACAAAAGCAGAAGGATAACTAAATTAGGTTAAAAGCAAAGCTTAACTAACCCCATTTAAAGTATATTCCATCCCTATTTGTATTGTACTTTTGTCTTATGTTAATCTCAAGAAAATTATCCCAAGAATTAATACTTAATGTATATAGAAGACTAGGCCACGCTCTTTGTAGTACTTTTCATTCATTAAATTACCAAATATCATGCGTGTTTACATGCTTACCATGAACCGTGGCTTATGAAAAAAGGAACTTTCGGCTACTGGAATTGCTATGTTTTTTTTTTTTTAAATAAATTATGATGTACTTTAAGAATAATCAGTTGTAAAGTAAAGTAAACGAGTACTTATTTAAATGTATTTTAAAAGTGTTGTGAGTATAAAAAGCAGTGTAAAAGCGTTTGATAAATTTTAATGTAAACTGATATAATTATATACAATGACAAATGCACATAGTAATAGGAGTGGTGGCAACGAGAGCAGTGGCGAGGACAATGGTGAATGGTGATGGTGGTGATGGTGGCAGCAATGGTGGACTTATAATGGTGGTGCTAATAGAGGGATGTGGTGGTTGGGGTGCAGAGTTAACAATGGTGGTAGGGCAGCGGTTGCGTTGGCAGTGGTGGTGGATATGGTTGCAGTGGTGGTGGTGGATGTGGTTGCAGTGGTGGCAATTTCAGTTTGGTGGTGGTGGTGACGGTGGTGGTAATGATGGTGGCAACAATCGTGGTAGTGGTGATTATGGTTGTGGTGGCAGCGGTGGCGATTGCAGTTATGGTGGTGGTGATGGCAGTGATGGTGGTGACAATAGTGGTAGTAGCGGTTGTGTATGTGAATGTGGTGACAGTGGTGAAAGTTGTGGTTATGGTGATGGTGGTGGTGGTGGTGGTAACAGTGTTGGTGATAGGTGATAGTAGTCACTTCAATCTCTATGGGATAAAATGTGTGTGGAAGGCTAAATAATGCCATTGAAAAAAAATTAATGAACGTATTATAACAATTCAAAATATTCATTAAAGGTTTAACTCTATTTTTTTTTTAGTAGTTTTTAAAAGCAACCTACATGTTGCTTTTAAAAAATGCTATCAAATGACTATTGTGACAGCCCGTCCCAAATTATTCGTATCGTAGGTGTGAAATGACGATTTTCGCCCCTAGTGGTTATGTTTCATTTTGGGGTGTTTGTTTTGTGGGCTTGTTGGCTGCATCTGGACCACACACACACTCTCATCCCTATCCCTTTCCCGTATACTTTCCTTGTCTCGTGTCTCTCTCTCCTTTTTCTTCTTCTTCGTACGGACAAGTACCAAGACCCGTGAAAACGTTGTAGATCGAGGTGGAAAACTATATCTTTGTGTTCGTGACGATCATACAAGCTCAACAATACCCATTTCAGGTAGGAAATCCTTCGTTTTCACGTTGACCCATGGAACCCCAATTATGGCTACTATTTATGCACACGTGAGATGTTGTTTTTCAGGGAATTTGAAGCTTGTAGGAAGCTTAGTGAGGTCTTTAGGAAGCTTAGGGTGGTTCGTTGGAAGGATTTGGACGTCGGCATCATGAGTTGCAGGTTTGGCCGGATTTTGTGAAGTTTCTCCAGCTTGATTTCGTGAATTTCAGGGCTTGAAAATGGTAAGACTTTGTTCTACTTGTTGTAAGCTTCATTTTGGTACCAATTTCATGGAATTTGGTTGACAAATGAGTGAGAAACGAAGGTTTGAAAATTTTCCGGTTTTCCAACGACGGCAACGGCACCGAAGGTGTACTGGAGAAGAAGACGGAATATTTCGTCAGTTTGGACGGAATATTCCTGACGACGTTAACTGACGCAGTCAGTGTGCTAGGCACGTGGCCGGCGCGTGGCGGCGCGTGGAAGGTCAGAAAATTATTTTAAAAATATGGTGATGTTAGTGAGGTTGAGTAGATCACGTTGGTGTATTCACACACCCCATTTGAGAATTGTATGAGAAGTTATTACCTAGTTTTGGTTATGTGCTTTAAATTGACGTTTTTATAGTTGTTTCGCATATAGGTGAGACCTATCCCAAGGACGAGCGCAGTCACTCGAGACAAGCGGGTTACGACCCTTCCACATACCAGTGAGTGGGCTTTTGGTTTTCGTATATACCTATATACTGTGGTTTTTCCCAGAAAATGAAATGGAATGTTTATATGTTTTAAATGCCATGCATTACGTTTGCCTATTGATTTATGCATTCGTAGTTATATATATGTATGTTTGGTGCTGCGGACGCATAGGTAAGTGTCAAGTAAGTTATGGTTTATGATGATGATTTGTAGTTATGTGAGATACGTAGAGAGCTCATAACCTGCATCCTCGGTGTTAGTGCTCTCGCTCAGAGTAGGGTATAGTCCTTCACATGATGTTCACCTCCTACACCACACACTCATCTTGGATCCAAGTTAGGTGCACAGTCCTGTCGTACAGACCATTATAGGTGGTTCCGACTCGTAGGTGACTTGCAATTATTCGCCCAGTCTTTACGTGATCGTAGCACTTAAGCGTATTTATTTACACCCAATCCTGTCGTACAGACCAGACCATTATAGGTGGTTCCGACTCGTGTGCAGGTATAGTTAGTGAGTTGGAGATTTGAGCTTTAGATTCAGCCGTACAGGTCATGTTAGGTGACTCTGGCTGACATGTTATTTGCATTGTTTGACATTACCTAGGTTACTTACATTTTATGTGGAGGCATTTGACATGGCATATTTCTAAGCATGTTTTCTATATATGTGTATATTCTATTTTTTGGGAAACTATACAGGTTTTACGGCGAAGGGTTAGAACTTTTGATAATGAAATGATTTTGAAAAGCTTTGTTTTTGCCCACTCACACTTTCTATTTTGCGCCCTTCCAGGTTCTAGTTTGGATTGCTCTTTTGGTGGCTCATGAGGAATCCACGGCATATTTGACAGATTATCACCAGTGCAAGACCCCCTCTGGGTGTGTTTAGTTAGTATTTGTTCCTTTGGATTGCACTAGGTTTTCTATGCTCTGAATATTATTTTTCACACTTACGTTTGCACATGTATGTTAACTACTCTGTGTGTAGTTTGATTTTTATTTGTTCGTACTTTTATTATTATTCTTAGCTTCCGCACTGTGCGCATGGTTACGTCATCCTCACGTGATGGCCAGCACACCTTGATTTCAGTCGGGGTGTGTCAGCTATTGCTTTTAAAATATGTAGGATATTTTACTTCTACTAAATATTTTATATTACTAAAATTTAAAGTTACGCAATATTTTGTGATTACAAAAAAAAAAAAAAAATCAAACAAACAAACAAGACTTTAATGATACCTCTTTGTTTGGCTTTTGAAAAAAAGAACTTTTAAGGTGTAAAGCAAAAGCATGGGAATTTCGTGGGAAAGAATAAAGTTAAGCACCGGCCTATTGAAAGGTTGGGTGTTATGGAAATTTGGGTTGTTGAGGGTCCAATCGATTCATTTGATCTTTTAAGAAAATGAAAAACAAGAGAAAAATTGCGGACTCACGTGATAATCATCAGTTCATTTTAGTATTAGATTTTTAATTTTTGAGCTTAAAAATATAATCAAAATATATGGAAGAAACGAGAGATGAATCATAATAATGATCAGTTTGTCTCTATTTCTCTTAATTCCTCAGACTTTCTTTTATCTTCAACACAAAAACAACAAAAATAGAAAGAAGCTATTATCCTGTATAATTTACAAAGAGAATTTAAGATCTTAAAATCGTTATGTATCTTGACCTAGAAAAAAGGGTACTAGTCGAATCACTAATCCAAAGATTCAAAACTAATCTCAAAGAGTCGGAGTGATGTGGACAAGTTCCATATCCATTCCTGGATGCCTCTACAGTCTGGCAATGACCCGCCGACAGGGTATTGGCCTCGCCCCTTCTAGAAAAGGGAAAGAGATGATCTTCTGATCTTTCTCTTCAAAATTCATGAAGCAAGTGATCCGAATTTTTAAAATTTGATCTAACGATAAAAAATTATTATAGTTTTTAAAAGTTTTTACTAATTTCTCTTTTTAATCGTTTGATCAAATTTTAAAGATCCAGATTGCTTAATTCCTGACTTTTGAAGGGAAAAGTGAGGAGATGATCTCTTTGCCCTAGAAAAGTACCTGCTGAGTCGCTGCTGACCGTTTCTGATTCATTCATTTTTGACCTACTTTACTTAATAGCTACCCATTTCTAACATGCGTGCATGCATGCATGCATTTGAGATGGAGTATTAGGACAAGTTGCAATATTTGACATTGTGTAGGGTCAGCGGAAAAAAAATATCTCAAATGCACACACAATCGCTCTCAGCCGAAGGTCCAACGAGAAAACGCGTTGTGCACAATCAAGTAGCCTACCTAGAGAATGAAATGTATTAATGCGTTCCCAAATTCCAAACTCCGAAAAGCTAAAGAAAAGACTTGGTAAAAAGGCTCTTCGACGGTTGATTTAGTAAACAATTTATAAGACCTTTTGTTTTCTTTGGTCAAGGATTCTCAAGACATTTACATGTGATATGGTCTAAAGGTATATGCTGATTCTTTACCTTTACAGTAACTGGAAGGGAAAAAAAATGAAACCCATGAAACAGTTGGGATGAAGTTTGGGTAAACAAATTAAAATATAAAGGAGTGAGCTTATTTAAGTGTTTAGGCTTGTCTTTATAGGCTACACTCAATGACGGAGCTAGAAATTTTGTACTGGGTAGGCTAACTTAAAAATTTAAATCTTTATAAATAAAGAAATTTGATACCGTATTTTTCATAGTATCAGCTAACTTAAAAAAAATTCACAAGATGAGCCAAAAAATTTTGTAATTAAACAAATCCAAACTTGTACATGTACAAGAAGCAATGAGAAAAATGATTTAAGAAAAAAAATGGTTTGTAAACTGTATTATATAATTTTATATAGTTAAACCTAGAGAATTCGAATTAGTGACTAAATATATGGTGTGCTACATTCGAAAATCAATCAAAATTACATGTAAAATTTTATTTTTCTCCGGAAGCTACCTAGGCTATAGCCCATGACAGCCCTTAACCTGGCTCCGCCAGTGGCTACGCTTGTGCTAAATATCAATATAAAATAGGTACTACACAATATATTGTGTAATTTTCATTATACTAGCAATTGTACACATGCTATACATGTGCTTATTAAATTTTAAAAATAAAATTTGCAAAAAGAGAAAACATAAAATGGAAAACTAATGAAAATGGCTTCAAAACTTTGAATTTTAACCAAAAGTCATCTAATAATTTTATTTAATGATAAGGACAAGAGGAAAAAAAAAAAATTCTTATCAAACGCGCGTGTAGTCTCCTTTGCCGCTGCATCTTTCAGTTGCTTCTTTTTCCAATACGCATCAACTGGGGTCCAAAAATTACCTTGCTAGAAGCAACTCTAATCATGGCTGCTCCAATATCTATTTTACAACCTCTATATATTTGTACTATATATATACATACACACCTTACTACATATTATATATTATGGACATATGAAGCACTGAAGAGTACCTTGTGCAACTTTATTTACCAAGCCACTACCTTTTATACCTACAATTTTGAATCACATGATGCACCCTTGAGACAAATGTGATGTTCCCAACAATTTCCATCCACAAAATCGCTGGTGCCGTTAAATGCTTCAAAAATTGTATGGTAACTAAAATTTAGGGTTTTTAAGTTTCATAAATAATGTAGTACCGTTAAGTTTCATAAATAATGTAGGACTGTTAAGTTTTATAAACAATATAGTACCGTTAAGTTTCATAAACAATGTAGTACCATTAAGCTTCATAAACAATGTAGTACCGTTAAGTTTCATAAACAGTGTCGTAAGTTTCATAAACAGTGTATTAAGTTTCATAAATAGTGTAGTAC